GATAAACGGAGATGTCTCGATCATCAGTCGCACGCCGAGGTAATTCATCACCGTGTGGGTCTCGGCGCCCTTCACTATCTCCAGCATTTTGCTTACGAGGGCGGGCGTCGTGATCAACACGTCTGACTCGGCCTCGCAGGAGGGAGTTTCTTTGACTCCAGCAAATACTTCGGCGACAAAGTCCATCACCTCCGGTACCGATCCAAGGACGTAGGGTACGGGTCTGCTCTTCTCCAGAGCCAGCTCGGCAAGCTTCTCAATCTCGGTCGCGAACTTGACGACATTGAGAGTGAGAGACGGTGGCAGGAAGGCTTTCTTCAGCGTCTTGGTCGCCGAGAAAGCGGCCATAGTGTAGAGGCGTACCGCTTCGTTGATGTCCATGCCTCCTTTCGCCGTCAGCAAGTCGGGAGCACCAACTGACACGGCATCCTTGAGCGCCCAAGGGTGTGAGCCAACGCCGGCACTGAGGAGAGCGCAACTGCCCGTCTTGCGAAGTACCTTTGCAGCCGCCTTCCAGACAGACATGCTTCTCCTTACGGGTGGCGTGAGTGGGAAGCCCTCCAAGGGACACGTTGAACATGAGCTCCAGCAGCGTATTCCAGCCTTCATCCTCCGTGCGCCTCACATCCATGCACTTCCCGTAGAGGTCTTGCAGCGGCTGCAGGCTCCTAGTCGTCTGAGACGCGTCCTGAAGCATATCGCGCAGCCGCTCTTCGAGTACGGCCGTGTAGTCATCGTCAGAGGACACGGAGTAGTCTGCGGACGGCACAGGAAATTGGCTCTTCCAGCGACGGCAACGAAAAGCATAGAAATCGTCGCACGGATCCACGATGTCCCAGGAGAGGAGCCCGTCAAGGTACACCGCATTCTGGAAGGCAGCTGGTGGAGGTGCAGGTAGGCAGCTTTGGACAGCCCTCGCGCCACGACCGGATGAGCGCGAGGGGGCACCGAACGGGTAGAAGAGAGCGGTGAGCACCAGTGCAAGCACGACACCGAGGGACAGTGCCAAGGGATAGAGGAAGCTCTCCCTGAAGGCGAGCGGTCCCCACACCTCGTGAAGAGAGCCTTCGTTAGCATGGATGACGGTACGCTCCGGCTCTTGCGAATCGGGGATATCCGAGGAGTGGCATCTTCTGCGGCTCGCCTGCGTGGGTGGACTCGCGCGCCCTGCCCCTCTCTTCTTCCATGCCCATCCTCTTCGCAACTCTTGCTCTTCCACGGCATCACCCATTGCATCACCCGTTGTATGCAAACCTGTGGATGATCGACTTTGTGTCTTTGCGGCAGCTTGTCTGAATTGTTCAAGACGGGAGCTCCTCTTTGTGGACGATTTAATAAGTGGAGCCGTCTCGTGCGCTGGCAACGTGTACTTGTCAGCTTTGTCAGCTGACAGGCGCGTCTTCTTTAGCGGGAATTGCACGTCAAAGGTGTGTACCTTTGGGCTTCGGCCGCCGGAAGAACGCGCAGCTTCTTCGCAGAGCGTTTCCATCGATAGTTTTGGCGATGCCCCCGGTACATATGATTTCACCTTCTGCGGGAATTGACTCTTTCCGATCCCGCTTGTCAGTTCGGATGCCGGTTTCACGGTTGCTCCGGCATCTTCGCGAATGGTTCTGCGCGTCTGGACTTGGGCACTTATTAGCAGAACCTTTCTCGTAGTAGTAGTTGACCTGCTTACACTCTCTGTGGTGCCTTCAGACGGTGAAAATTCTCTGGGCTGGTGCTGGAGCTCTGGAGTGATCATGTCGCAGGCGACGTTGTCCGTATAGTACCGTTCTCGTTCCAAACCCCTTCGCTTCTTCGTCTCTAGATCTTTGCCGGCTGTCGACGTTGTCATAGAGGGACTTTCTATTTTACGCCGTGACGAGTTCTTGTTCGGCGACTCCAAGGCCTTCCTCGAGGACTCCGCGGCGAATAGGCTTGGCGAGTTTCTCGCTGCGCTGCCAGTGTGCTGCGCTGAAGGTTTTTTCGCTCGCGGAGTTTCGCCTCGCTTGGTAGTCGTCGTCGTCGTCGTCGTCGTCGCCGCCACCATCTTCACATCTCGCGAATTGTCCTTGACATACAAATCCGCCCTCTTACGTGTAGACCCGGCGTGCGACGAGCTGATTTTTGCGGAACACTCATCGGAAGGCTTCCGCTGGCGTCGTAGTGACGTTGCTGTCGATGGTGAACCGGCGTCCGGCTGCCGCCTGTGGTATGCGGGAGGTGTGCTGCCTTCGGCCACTAATGCCATCGCCGCCTGGATCTGAGTGTCGCTCGAGGAACCGGCGCCAAAAGTGGCCCTCGACTTGTCGATGCGCACGTCGGGTGGCTTCGGAACAGATGAGGTGTCGCCAGCAGAGTCCACGTTCACTGAGTTAGCCATCACAAAGCGATAGCGCGGTCCTGCCCAAATAGAACGCTGATCTCCTCGCGATTCTGTGCGCGAGTGCACGCGGAAGTTCTTCATTCTCATCGTCGCCAAGGCGTGCAACAGCTTAGAGCGCGTCATATTGCTGAATGGCATGCTCGATGTACTTTCTGCGATGAAACTATAGAGCACGTTCTCTGTCACTGCCCTCGTTACAGCGTGCAAAGACGGCAACTAGCTGCTGCGTTATCTCGCCTTGACGACAGACCTTTGTCTGAACAATCAGTGCTGGAAAGACGACATGATTTGTATGCTCACAGACAATCAGTGAAGGCCTTACTGAACTTTTTGCGTGGCAGCGGCCGATTGTAAAGACTGTAGCACCCCAGCTCCCCCCTCCCCCCCTTTTTTTAGCGCGCGTCTATTTCCCTCTTCACTTTCTTTCCAATCTTTCTTCCCCATTCCCCCTTCCCCTAGTGCAGGGTAGCAAACCGGATGCTCCATTTTCTGGTTAACCTCCCTGCCTTTCCCTCATTTTATTCTCTCTCTCGATGTACTTTCTAGTATATAAACATTTCGAAGTGTAGAATGGCGAGGATTCATGTCGTTCGAAGCTCAAGTGGGAACGTTGCGAACTGGCAGTGTTTACTAAGTATTTTCTGATGTATTTCGATTACCTAATTTTCTGCCCCTTATCGATATTTCCTTTTTCCATACACTGTGTTAAATCATCACGTACACGTATGCTTAAGCACTACTAAAATTCGTTGTTCTTCTCAGTCGCTTTTTTTAATTGCCCGATGGCGTATATTCTATGTAGGTGAGTGAGCAGTCAATTTTAGAAGCAATAAATCGAACAGTCATACGCAGGCAGCTAGTCCGGAGTGTTCCCTTCGAGCTATGCTCATTCTGTTGCGCCGCTAATTTTTCAACAAACACTTCTATTTACCATAAAAAAAATGAAACTTGCAGAGTTCCTTATGCATTCGTCTAAGACTCCTGGAAGGCGCAAGCCATCGGTCATCATTATCATGATCATTGAAGCTAGAAAGAGAACGTTATTGTTTGTACCACGGTGGCGCTTTTTTTCGAAGGCCAGTATCTTTGGTGGTCTACGAATTATTTCAAAATTAAGGAAAAACACACGTAAACACAGAAAAGAAAAAAAAGCAGAACGCTGCCCCATCTCACCAAACTCCTACACAGGCCCGTAGCGAGCCCCTCATTCCCCACTCCGAAACTCGGATGGTGGGAGTGTTTTAGTGATAATAAATAATGAACAGCAGGTGTTTTTTAAAAACAAGTGTGCTTCCCTCCCCCTCCAGGCGCGTAGCCATTATTCCTTTAGGGGGAGGGGGGCACCACCTCAATTTTGGGAAGAGCACGACCCGGAAATGGTCATTTTTGGCCTCTATGTCATGGCGAAAAATTTTGGGGGAGGGGAGCATGGACCCGGTGTGCCAACAGCTGGCTACGCCCCTGCTACCCCCTCCCTCCGAAAAATATTTCTGGCTACGGGCCTGCCCCTGACCACTTGAAACTGCCACTGTCCCAAGTCGCTTCTGCAGTGATAGATATCTTCAATCTAATATCAACTCCCCACTTCTTTGGTTGCATATAACGGCTTACCTTCGAAAACGTTCGGTTTCAAGGAAAGTGCGGGCGGTCGAACTCCCCCAATCCGCCCTGCTTCCCCCCCTCTCTGCACCCACGGTCTGCGCCACCTCGAATGTGTTGCGGCAAATTAGGACATACAGGAGGAAGATGGCATGACTCTCCATTTTTCTTATCTTGTATGTCTTAAATTATCCACATTTATCTTCCCGGGAAATGAGGCGGCTCACCAGACAGCCCGAGGGAACATAAACCGGGCAGTGAGGCGGTCCCGGGAACCAAATCCGAATGACCTGGCGCTCAGCTATGGAGACCGGCTCAGCCGGCACCAAGAGCAAAGAAGGCTTTATCCACCTCCAAATGAAGCATTAACCCGGGCCAAGCGACTACACTGCGAAGGGCTCAGACTCATTGTATACTCAGCCCGAGGAGGCTGGCCGCAATAGTGAAAGATGAAAAGCTACAAAAGTGTAATAACTTTGGCTTAGCACAGGCAGGACAAGACCACGTATTATAGGGTTACCCCAACAACCCTCCACCCGAGGATCTCCTGCAGCCATCTCCCTCACCAGATGCCTGAGAGAGGTCCTTAAGGAGCCAGAATTCGCGTATACAGGCCAAGATGGCGGACTGGTCTGCTAGTGTTGCGGCCCCTTGGGCCCCAACCTAACCCCCGTCAATCTTGGTTTCCCCCATTTCTCCTCCACTTTCTGAATAATAAAGCTTATTCCTCCTCCTTCTCCATGTTTTAAATCCGCCTTTTGCATTTCCTGTGCTGCTATTTGCGGTATTGATGGAGATTATGTAGCAACCGGGGTTGGACCGGTATTGCTAGAACGAAAGCCTCCGAGACAAGGAATTGTTTTGTTATTTTCTTGATATGGCAATGGCGCATGCGCCGTTGCATCATGAAAAAAGGCGAATTGCGTTCGGATAGGCTTTTCATCAAGTAGCAGCTAAGGCAAAAAAAAAATGGTTTTGTCACGTGTATAAATGGCATATAAATTACGCTTAGCCTTGTTTCACACTGTCTTTCTTTCTTTCTCTAGAAATAATTATCTTCCTTTATTGCGGCAAAATGAAATTTGCTCCATCAAGTCTCAAGTGCAATCGTGTAAATTGAGTGGTATATCTAAACGAGACATTGCCAAGCCGACCGAATGCGCGAATCGTCACGTTCCGCTGTTATCTTCCGCTAATCTGTGCTTCGATGATGTTCTGCGCCGTTCCGATGACGTTGGCGATTGCGTTCGCGATCTCACCCAGACCTGCATTAGTTAGAAAAGAGAAAACAAGGACTAAATCAATCTAGCATCATTATGAGATTCGCGGAGTTGTGGGTTAACGTTGAAATGAAAGAAAGGAGGATGCGTGGGAAGGTAAATAAGGGAGCAAAAAAAATATTTTTTAACGAATCGCATCTGTCACAGTACACCTGAATCTGGGCGGAAATTCTTTATATCTGGGCCTGCTTATATCTGATAGACAGGAGCAACTAACAATGGGTATATTGCGAACGATGCAGCTCTTGCGGTGGAGTTGTCCAGCTCTCCCAGTTGTAGGGAGGCTGAGGTGTTCAAGGGCGAACTGAAAAGTATGGGGAAAGAAATTCTCTCACTTCCCATAAGAATTCGTGTTGGGTAGTTCGTTGGGAGATTGGTCGCGTGCTTTACCACTACCGCGCTGGACTGAACGTTTCATCTGTTACTGTTCTATGTGTTACAAGGTGAACGTTCAGTGTGTTACAAGGTATAGTTTGGCATCTGAAGGCAATTATTTGTCCTTTTTGTTTAAACTCGTGCGTAGGGATGTGCAAGTTTACTACATTCGTTGTCCACATTTATGCCAATAAGCGAGTCTCTGACGCCCATCGTGACCGGCATCATAGGAAATGTGCATTGAAAGTGCGGTTGACTTTTATGAATCTGCCACGCTTCCCGCAGCTCTTTAAACTTTTCGTTGCTCCGGGTAGTGCGAAGAGGGATTATTATTACCATGAACCTGTACGCACGCCCTTTATCCTCCTTAAATTTTGATTTGCTACCGCCGCACGTACGCTTTTTTTGTCCGGCGTGGAATACAAAAAAAAAAAAACTCTGGTGGAGGGGGAAGGGGGGTCTGTTACGTGACTAAAATTCCCCTAACAATTCGTCATGTGTCTAAAATCGCAAATGTCGTAATAGCAAGTCACGTGACAACTCCTCGCCATGAACCACGTAACAGATAATCAGGTGACTACAATGACAATATGACTTAACAGGTAATCATGTGACATTCCTAGCCAAGTCTAGCCATACTAGGGTAAAGGGGGGGGGGTAACATGCGACAAAAGTTTTAGAATAGTGAATATTTTCTTATTTCACTATTTACAATTAAACATCAATGCAGAAACTTTACTTTAGGTACAAGGTACGTGCTACATAAATATTGGCATGTTTCCACTGTTCGAAACCTTATTTCAAAAATGAGTAAAAAATGATTCGGTGGTCTCATTTTGCTCCAAGGCTGCGGGACAAACGAAGCAGTGTGAAAAAAAAATTATTACTTCGGTTTTTTTTTTGTTTTTGCAGTAGGAAGACTAGAAATTCACTTTTTCGGCTCTTATGCAGTGTCAAGGAGCCCAGTTCTTAAATTCCACGCTTTGAATCTGGACATAACGCGGTGTTGTGTGTCTCCGAAACTCCTTGCAGATCAAACACGTACCACCAGTCTTTCTTTGTGCTGATGTTACATTTTTTTTAAACGTTTGCGCTTTATTGGATTATTCAATAACCGGATGCTAGAGATGTTTTGACGTATCTTATTCACCTCGTTTTGCCGTTTTGATTCAGAACTGCTCAGGCATTTCATGGCTTTTCGCTTCGTCTGCCGGGCTTTTTGAGGCAATGAATTCAAGATTGTGCTAGATTCATATTTTCTAGCTCTTGTTTCTTTTTTTTATTAGGATATCGTAGAAGAGTCGTCGAAACTCAATCCTGAGACGTGTTTGTGAGCGACTTCATTTCGATATTTTGCCATTTTTTGCGTCTTTTTAGAGCATCCGTGGGAATATACGGAAATACCTCGATGCAGCGCGAATGGAGGGAGTCATGTCCTGAACGGCAGTCAGCGCTTTTTCATGTAGTTTTTCCTCCGAGGAAGCTGTATAATATATTCATTTGTATGTCCGAATCCTTCTAAACAAATAAATATAATATATAATGAGTGTAAGCTAATTGATCAGTTAATAAGGCACTTTGGCAATTGGATGCCTTTTTGTCGTGTTTTGCCCCTCTCACATGCCAAAATTAAAAAAAAATCCGCTTTGTCCGCGGGCACTAAACAAACTAAACTTTGAGTGTTATGTAGCGCGTAGTGTAAAGTAGCAAAATAAATATTTACGTTGCTCTACTGATGCAGGAGTAGCTTCATGCGCGGTATGATAATTTGGCCGAGCAAAATTTCGCCCCTTTCTGAATGCTCATGAACGCACTAACACCCACCGCGTAATATTTTTTATGCGAACGCTGGGAGCAATCATCAATTTTTTACGTGCAAAACGTAGAAAAGAACCAGTACTTATCGCTGCGAAAGAGAAACAAGGAAATGTAGTTTTTGTATTAGTTACTGCGGCCGGCAAAGCCAAAATGTCAGGTTTTACCCCGTGTCTCATTTTAACCCACCCTACCCTATCAAAAACTTCGCATCTCTAGCAAAAGCTGGCGTTACTAGCATAACTTAGTCAGGTCCAACGTTAGCTCCGCTAATGGTTCCAGCTTCGTTCCACTAGGGCAAGATGCGCACTTTTTTTTAATTACTTCGCCCATAACCTCGTACCAACGTTGTACGTAGTTAAAACTAACGTTGTACGTAGTTAAAACAGCCGCTCATTCATCGCATGGAGTACGTATGTAATAGGAAGACGTGCTCCGATTGTTCTGCCCTGATAAATTAAATGACAAAGAGAGAGAGAGAGAGAGAGATGAAGAGAGAGAGAAATTTGTGGTTCGAATAAGACAGCAGGAATGCTGTTTCAAGACTCTAGCATGCACCACTCATACCGACGCTATTCAGTCTGTGTTAGCACGATCGTCCAGTTAGTTCGCCGTCGCGTTCATGCAACACGTACGCATTACCGGAGACCTTGTCGACGAAGTCGACGCGCGCTCTGAATCCCTTTCCCGTGTTCGTCCTCTTGGCTCCCAGGATGAGCACCATGTCAGGTGTCTGCGCCGTCATCGTCTCGTTGGGCTTGATCTCGTTGCCGCAGTACCTGGGACAGTGATCCACGTGACAGCTCATTGTGATGAATGCACGGGAGCTTGCATTCTGTGACAAAATGGCAGTTGACTTCCCGCGAGGCACGTATTTCTGTGCGTTAGTTTGCCCACTGCTTTTCTGCGGCGCTGACCAACGCAAATTGACAGTTTTAGTGGGGCGTTCTCGTGGACTCTGCGGACGCCAGCTAAAAGTGTATAGCAGGGTGGACGTTGGCGTTAGGGCACGCACAACATGTGTACTCGTGTTTTGACTACGTGACTGGAAATGTCGAAACAGGCTTGGTTGGGCCGTTCTTTCCTGTGCATATGCAAACGACCACCAATGTGTTTATTATACCCCCGACGTGTTTACGTTCTTTGTGCGAATAAAACATTGATTGATTGATTGAGTTATTCGTGGTCTGTCAAATTGCCACCATGTCGTCGTCAGTGAACCCGTTGTCTCTATAGCGTTACCTCACCATCACAATGTTCAACTGTAAAAATGCATCACAAAGTCTGTCGTACTCTGTCCTGTGTATTCGCCCGCTTGCGCCTTTTTTTTTTTTGCGTAGAGTAGCTTTTGCCATGAAGACTTCTTAGCTGTTCCTGAGCTTTATCACATGTAGATGCTCGATAATTATCATCTTTTCGTTTCCTTGTCACCAACGTTCTGAATAGAGGGTATTTTCAATCGCAAATAGCTTCGAAAAAAAAAAATAGCAAGAGTCTATGCAGAACACCTCGCGGCAGAGGGTAATTTCATGCCACGTTCAAATGAACCAAATTACACAATCACACTCGTAATAAGCGTCGGCTGTGGTACCACATGCAATGAATGACTAACGCAAGAATCGCGTAAGACGACATAAAATCATTAACAGAAAGAAAGATATATATATATATATATATATATATATATATATATATATATTATATATATATATATATATATATATATATATATATATATATATATATATATATATATATATATATATATATATATATATATATATATATATATATATATATATATATATATATATATATTCATACCTCAAGGGCCTCCTAGAAGGAGGCATTACATGAAGGGTGGTACAAGTGACAGACTAGAACAAAAAACGAGGGTAGGGGTGAAGGGGAGGTGTGCTACCAACATAACTATATACAAGACCGTTACAACAATATATGAGTGAAGAAGCATAAAAGAAACTACATGGCCGGACACGCTACATGTTTTACATTGGGACCAATCAGAGTTTGAACAGCTTGGATAACCGCGCTTCACAGCAGTACAATGGTGCAAACATGCAAGTCAGAATGCAAACAACGGCAATGAGCTAGGTAGCTATAAATTTGGTAAATTAAATATATATATATATATATATATATATATATATATATATATATATATATATATATATATATATATATATATATATATATATATATATATATATTTGAACGTCAGTTCTGTAACCATTGGTATCAAACAACTCTGCTATAGTAACCCCCAAAACAGCTGTAATTTCCCCATACCTCCTACTTAGGTGTATACATGCATCTCTACTGGATGTATGTTTATGCCATGGAATGAAGTCCGGGGGAAAGTGGATGATGAGAGTCGCTCTCACATCTTTCCGTGGTAACGGTCCCTCGTGCGAACCTCCAGGCGCTCTCGGGCACACTGTCCGTTGTAGCGGCTGCCCGGGTGTTCTTCCGGCAGCTGCAGTCGCGGCTCGATGCTGAACTCCTCGAATGTCAGGCGCGGCACTTGACCTGCGGGCGCCTGCATAGAGTGCGGAGTAATCTTTGCAAGACAGTTCTTCGGACTGACTTGCTTTCTCTCTGAAATATTCGATGAATTCGCTCGCGGCTTCGTCTTCGTGCTACAAACGGGTGATTCTCAATTTTCCCTCCACAATACCGCCCGTATTACATTAGTCATAGAAGACATTCCCTCTTTTGGGATGGACAGTCTTTTACAAAAATTTTGAATTTTCCTCCTGAATCACACAACGAGTGATGTGGGTGTGATTTAACTGAAGCATAATGAGAACATAAAAGGTTGACAATCGTGTAAAGCATGTGCATATGATTGTCAATGGTTCAGCGTATGCGGCTTCCATTTTTCTCGTTATTGTTTTTCCGTCTCCTGTGATTTCGTCTACACTCCGTGGCACCGCTTCTGTGCAGTGCAGGCGAAGCTACGTGCACTGTCAGCTAATCAGAGCAAAGAGCCGCAGGTCAGACAACCGGTCGGTTGTCTGTCGCATGCACAATCTGCGTGACATAAATGGAATGAGTCATTGACGAAATTGCAGCGCTGTGCGAGTCTGCCGTTTTCGTTCTCCTTCCACTCGCAGCTGTTAATAGCGCTCGGGGTTCCGTGCTTGTGTGCTGGCTTCGGCTTGTTGCAGCCATCGTTAGGTATATTTCATTAGCTGGTTAACATACGTGTGTGCCATGGACCCATGCTGCCAATGCGCTTGCTACGACCGTGCGAGACACTGAAGTTTTAACTATAGATACTTTGTTTATGGTATACGTGCTATGTATCGGTTGTGTGCCCTTCGCCTATCATTTCGTTTAAAATCTTCGTCCTAAAAATATGGTATAACGTGCCACCTGGTGACCCTTTAAATTTTTAATTAAAAATCGTCGCCCCCATTTCTATTTCATGTGATTTATAGCCTATAGTAAGGGTGGACTGCCTTCGCTTAATAACACAGAACACAGAACAGATGGAACTGGTATACGAGTATATTACGTTAGATCGCCATACGTCCGTAGTATACATGCATAGGCCTATATTGCGAAGTTGCATGCAGAGAGTGCCGTTTATACAAGCACTGGTTGTTTCTCATAAGAGAGGGAAATTTTATTTAAGGAAAAAAGTGAGAGGTTTTTTTTAGAGCTTTCGTGGTTGAGGAACTATGTCCAGGGGTCCAATGGGCTGAGCCGCCTGCCGGACTTGATCCAGAAACATCAGCTGCACCTCCGGGTCCGTGCTGGCGAGTTGTGTCTCCCATTGCTCCATGCTATATTGCCACAGGCATGGAACGAGTTTTAGCCATGCCAATGCGAGTATGTGCCATGGTGTGAAAGAAGAAGAGGACGTTGGTGGGTGCTCGTGCTCTAACGTTCGGTTCGGCTCGACGTCCGTCTGTCCTGTGAACAGACGTTTGGTCGTTCTGTGATCACGTGACATTTCTGGTGGAGGTGCGGGTAGTGTTATATGCACTGCATCAGCAGCAAGGTCCCGACACTAGCCGCGACCTTGGAAGAACCAGCTGACCTAACGGCGTAGCAGGTGACCACTAGCCTACCTCCTGAATTCGGACCATTTCCTCAACTCGGCAGTACTATGGCTAGTGCGGGAACGCAAACCCAAGAACATCAACGCTGCCTCCTCCATGGTTTCTTCAAACGTTCCGCGTACTCCGAAGCCGTTCCACGGTGACCCTTATGAGGACGTCGACGATGGCTCGACGACTACAACCGTTGCGGCAGCGTCAACGAGGGAACGAGCAGCGAAAGCTCCGGTACGTCTACTTTTATCTCGAGGACTCTGCGCGCACTTGGTTCGAAAACCATGAAGCCACTATGACAACCTGGCCAGAGTTTGCAACCAGTTGCGAAATACTTTCCGAAGCTCTGACCGAAAGGAGCAAGCGGAACGGCTCCTCAATTCCCGAAACCAGCGTCCGAACGAGAGTGTTGGCCATGTTCGTTGAGGACATGACGCGGCTGTTCAGCGAGCCGACTCTTCAATGAGGGAAGAAAAGAAGGTGCGCCTCCTATGCGGGGAGTGAAGGAGCAGCTGTTCGCGGGACTATGCGGAACCCTCCCGCACTGTAGAGGATTTCCTTCGCGAAGCCCGACAATGGAGAGAATGCGTAAGGCAGCGTTCGTACCAGTATGGACGCCTGGCAGTCTTTCGTCAACTAAACACCTGACGTCACGACTGTAAAAGACCTGACGGAGCTCGTGCGCAGTATTGTGCGCGAGGAGCTGCAAAAGCTGCACGTGGTGTCTTCTCCGCCCCATGTTGCTGCTCTAACGGATGTCGTTCGCGAAGAGGTCCGGCAGCTGGTGCACCCCATGACGACTCTACGTGCAGCCGAAGTCCAACCCATGACGGCCCCGCGTCCAGCCGAAGCTCCGCTATTAACGTACGCGGAAGCACTGCGTACTCCTGCACCGGCTGTTGGCTATCCGTCCCGTCCGTCCACCCTGCAGACGGCACCGTCGTTCTACTCGGGACCCCCGCAGTACGGCAACCCACCCCTTACACGGAAATCCAGTGTATGGCGTGCTCCCGACAACCGGCCTCTATGTTATCACTGTGGTGAACCAGGTCACATCTACCGTGAGTGCGCCTACAGGCACATGGGTCTTCCCGGCTTTCGTCCGGATGCTCGTCGACCCAGAGATGGTGAGCGGCCCCGTGCTATCGCCGAATACTTGGCAAGCCAACGATCCTCAAACCTTCCGCGTCGCCAATCCCGCTCACCATCTCCACGGCGTTCCACGTCACCTGGCCAACAATCAACCTTTGCGGACGTCCTTGCAGGAAGATCACCTAGATCCACAAGCCCGCGCCGGGGAAACTAAGAACAGCGACCTCTGGGGGTGAGGCCGCTGTTGATCGACCGTTACAAGACCCTCCCCCGATTTGCCTGCCGACATCCTACGACATTCTTTCACCGACGTGTGCCATCGACGACAAACAGGTCTCTGCTCGTATCTCTGTTCTTGTCGACAACCACCCGCTGACCGCTCTGGTAGATACGGGTGCCGATTATTCTGTTATAAGCGCTGACCTCGCTGCACAGCTAAGAAAGGTAACAACATTTTGGGGACATGGAACTAACCTCCGGGCTGCGGGAGGTCACCTATTGACACCGCTAGGAATGTGCACTGCCCGCCTCCGAATTCGTGAGTCGACGTACATTGTTTCCTTCGTTGTATTGCGCGAATGCTCCCAAAACCTGATTCTCGGAATGGATTTTCTCCGCGAGCATGGAGCCATTATTAACCTTCGCGACCTGCTCATAACGTTATCTAACGACCATACAGCCCTACGAAAGGATGCAGTTGCGCCGACCACAACACTTCGAATTGCTGACGACACCATCGCACTGCCGCCGCGAGCCAGTATGTTGGTAACGGTGGAGAGCGACTGTGACAACAAGAGTAGTGGCATCGCGGAAACTAACCTCTCGGTGCTCTTGGCTCGGCAGATTTGTGTCGCGCGTGCTATCGTCAAACTGAAACATCGGAGGACTCAGCTTCTGATCACGAATTTCGGCGGCCAGTACCAACACTTAGCAAAGCGAACAGCAATCGCGAACTTTGAAGCCATCGATGACGCAGAATGTTCCACTATCCGCTCCGATTGCCACTGCTGCCGAAGGTAACACTGTATAGCCAGTACGGTTGACGTGAATTGCCAGCTATCCTGTGCGCAGCAACAGCAGATACGCATGATTTTACGTACGTATAGTGATTGCTTTGCGTCCACCTCCAAAATCAAACAGACCCCAACCGTGAAGCACCGCATTATAACGGACCCTACCGAACGGCCTGTACGACAGCACGCCTACCGCGTGTCACAAAAAGAACAAGAGGCAATACGTTTTCAAGTGAAACAGATGCTCGACGACGACGTCATCCAACCCTCGAACAGTCCATGGGCGTCACCCGTCGTACTTGTTAAAAAGAAAGACGGCACTCTTCGATTTTGCGTCGATTACCGGAAGCTCAACAAAGTGACGAAGAGAGACGTCTACCCTCTCCCACGCATAGATGATTCACTGGATCGACTTCGACATGCCCGATATTTTTCCTCAATGGATTTACGCAGCGGCTACTGGCAGATCGAGGTCGATGAACGTGACAGGGAAAAAACAGCATTCATAACTCCCGATGGCCTCTACGAATTCAAAGTGTTACCATTTGGATTGTGCTCTGCACCGGCAACGTTCCAAAGGATGATGGACACCGTCCTGTCCGGTCTGAAGTGGGAATCCTGCCTCGTGTATTTAGACGACGTCGTTGTTTTTTCGGCAGCTGCAGTCGCGGCTCGATGCTGAACTCCTCGAATGTCAGGCGTGGCACCTGACCTGCGGGTGCCTGCGTAGAGCGCGGAGCAATCTTCGCAAGACAGTTCCTCGGACTGACTTGCTTTCTCTCTGAAATATTCGATGAATTCTCGCTCGCGGCTTCGTCTTCGTGCTACAAACGGGTGATTCTCAATTTCCCCTGCACAATACCGCCCCGTATTACATTAGTCATAGAAGACGTTCCCTCTTTTGGGACGGACAGTCTTTTGCGAAAATTTTGAATTTTCCTCCTGAATCACACAACGAGTGATGTGGGTGTGATTTAACTGAAGCACAATGAGAACATAGAAGGTTGACAATCGTGTAAAGCATGTGCATATGATTGTCAATGGTTCAGCGTATGCGGCTTCCATATTTCTCGTTATTGTTTTTCCGTCTCCTGTGATTTAGTCTACACTCCGTGGCACCGCTTCTGTGCAGTGCAGGCGAAGCTACGTGCAGTGTCAGCTAATCAGAACAAAGAGCCGCAGGTCAGCCAACCGGTCGGTTGTCTGTCGCATGTACAATCTGCGTAACATAAATGGAATGAGTCGTTGACGAAATTGCAGCGCTGTGCGAGTCTGCCGTTTTCGTTCTCCTTCCACTCACAGCTGTTAATAGCGCTCGGGGTGCCGTGCTTGCGTACTGGCTCCGGCTTGTCGCAGCCATCGTTAGGTATATTTCATTAGCTGGTTAACATACGTGTGTGCCATGGACCCATGCTGCCAATGCGCTTGCTACGACCGTGCGAGACACTGAAGTTTTAACTATAGATACTTTGTTTATGGTATACGTGCTATGTATCGCTTGTGTGCCCTTCGCCTATCATTTCGTTTAAAATCTTCGTCGTAAAAATATGGTATAACGTGCCACCTGGTGACCCTTTAAATTTTTAATTAAAAATTGTCGCCCCCATTTCTATTTCATGTGATTTATAGCCTATAGTAAGGGTGGACTGCCTTCGCTTAATAACACAGAACACAGAACTGATGGAACTGGGAATTATACGAGTATATTACGTTAGATCGCCAGACGTCCGTAGTATACATGCATAGGCCTATATTGCGAAGCTGCATGCAGATAACGCCGTTTACACAAGCACTACTTTCTCATAAGAGAGGAAAATTTTATTTAAGGGAAAAAGTGAGAGGGCTTTTTTTAGAGCTTTCGTGGTTGAGGAACTATGTCCAGGGCTCCAATGGGCTGAGCCGCCTGCCGGACTTGATCCAGGAACATGAGCTGCACTTCCGGGTCCGTGCTGGCGAGGTGTGCCTCCCATTGCTCCATACTTTATGTGCTAAAGGTTTGCCAAGAAAAGTGGCTAATTCACTTGGCTTACGATTGCACCCCGGTGATATGTGGTAGAGAGTCGGCCCACCGCCGCACCACGGACACACGCCGTGTAAAGCGTTGGATGTCTCGCGTGTAACTTCAGTAGATGTCCGTACTACATGCATAGGTCTCATACTACTAAAACGGCGCCACAAATTAAGACGAAAGCGCGAGAGCTATAGAACCACGAAATTTAATTGGCATGTGCAAAACATAAGAATACACCCACGCGTGGCTTCACGCAGATAACAACCCTTACATGAACGTAAGACAGCCGGTGTGAACAACCAATAAAAACACTCAAAAACAACAGTTTATCTACGCGTTCAAGTGTAAGATTTCTGTATCTTGCAAGGCTATACAGACGAGAAGCTGATGCATGATTCATTTTCTTTTTTGTATGCGCCAAGTCTCGAAAATCTGTGGAGTGGTCTGGTTAGGATGTCGTGACACTATTCTGGTTTCTCTGAAATGGGGCTCACATGCACACTGCCTACAATGAGCAGGCCACGGCTACGTATATCCCGACTCATGCTCTCTTATCCTGGCATTAACACACCTTCCTGTCTGGCCTATGTATGCGGCGCCTCATGACAAGGGGCATTCGGTAAACAACACCCGAGGAATTTGCCGTCGTGTAAACGAAAAAAAGAAACAGAAATGAAAAAAAGCAAAGGATAATGTGGGCTGTTGTGTTAAGCATAGATCTCAAGCAATTGAGTGCGCCTCGAGTGTTGTTTACCGAATCCCCCTTTCACGCGCCGCGTACATATTCTAGACAGCAAGGTGAAGGTGTGTTAAGAGAGCATGAATCGGGTGTACGTAGCGATGTCCTATCGCATGTGGCTGCACATTGTAGGCTGTGTAGATGTGAAACCCAGTTCGGCAAAACCAGAGTATAGTGTCATGGCACTATAACCAGATCGCTGGAGAGATCATGTGAGGCTTGGGACTTACAAAAAAAAAATGAATCATGCATCAGCTTGCCGTCTGTAGCATTGCAAGAAGCAGAAATATCTTATACTTGAACGGGGAATGCTGTTTTTTTGTGTGTGCTTTTATTGTTGCTCACACTGGCTGTCTTACGTTTGTGTACGGGTTGTTATCTGTGGGAAGCCATGTGTGGGAATATTTTTATGCTTTCCGCACGTCAATAAAATTTCAGTTGAGAGTCGGCACTTGTGTTTCGTGGTCCTTTCTCGCGCTTTGGGCTTACTTCGTGGTGCCGTTTTGGTAGTATGAATTCATATCAACTTGCCCAGTTGTCAGTACTTATATGCATAGTGCTATGGTGCATGCAGACAACACCGTTTAAGCACCAGCTGTTTCCCGTGAAGCACTCAGTATATTTAACCGTCTCTCCAATTCCGCTGTCACTAATAGTCGCATTAGGAAAATTTGCTTTGTCTAGGCTGAAATTATACCTGTATCCACCAGGTGCAACCGTTGTAGTCGACGTCCCTGTTTGGAAAACCTGGTGTCTCGATGACTTCGCCGGCCTTGGTCACGTTGCCTCCGCATACGGGATCGCCTGCGGTTCGTGTGACCAATTTTGTATACCTTAATAATCGTTCTCGCCACTTGTGAAATTGGGTTTATCACTATACTGTATAGAAGTCGTGCCTTTACACTATACTATTGATATCGACAGACCTTTGGGCACTATGTGGAAGTACTTATACAGTACACTTTTGACGCACGATTTTTTGTTTATCTTGAACATAAAGATACGCGCTTAATGCATGGGGACTAAATGTTGCTGCTCGTCCTCTTGCGAGTCCCTCCTTTTTGACAAGGACTAAACGGGTTCCCGGGAAATATTTAATACACGGCAAATACGCTGCTTCTGCTGCTGAATTACACCAGTGATGCAAGCAGATGCATACCACCTTATATGGACAAGCCAAGGGTTACAGTTGGAACGCTCCTGTCAACTCCTGCAAGCCGGCCTTCGCGACTTACAGTGACACAACTAGTCACGACCACTGGATGCATGACAACACAGTCCACAAGACACAGCTTCACTTTATACCGGCCTAACGGCTCACATTTAATGTACATATACCCACAAAATATTATGCGTTAAAGGCAAGCCTATGTCGCAATAAAAAAGTATCTTATGGTTCGAAATAACCTTTTTTAGTGTGAACTATACAGTTGCTCTCTTTCGCCCGGGCATTTTATGCGTATAGGCTCCAAACATCTATAGATTACACTTATACTACGCCTCAGCATACAAAGCCGAATTCCCGCGGTGTGGAAGCACGCCTATACGCTCTATTCTATCAAACGAGAATGCACGGATCAAGCCGAAGGGCAAGAACAAAACAACACAAAATTAACGTATAAGCCATTGCTGTCCATGCCCTCGGAGACCAGCTCAGGCTGGTCTGCAGGGCCTAAAGGATCGCGAGCGTCAGCGGTGCTTTGGAATAGGGGCCCGACCACACGGCGCGATACTCTGTTTTGCAGTCAATGAAGTCTTTTGCGAAAACAAAGCTTTGTTCGTTTTTCTTAGAGTGCATACCGTAGTACGTTCCTTGCAGCTCCTCGCACCGTTCTCCAGCCGTGTTGGGCGGGCAGACGCAGCTGCAGGGTTCGTCGTCGTTCGCGTCGCTGGGCTGGAAGAGGAAGCCGCCGTTCTCGCACCGTTTGCTGCGTCGGTTGGGGCAGAGATCTGCACGCAGTGGACATGCGACACGCGTTCTTCGTTTGTGCTCCGTGGTATAAGTGGTTGTGGCTCGACATATAAGTAACGACCATGAGCCACCTGTACGATGTACTCAGTAAGCTATCCCAGTCATAGAGGTAAATGGTAGTGCCAAACACGCATCAACGCGCTGGCTACATGACAGGAGTGAGATGAGTTGAGGATGCTCTAGGTTGCCGGCGTGTCCAGCCTTGCGAAATTTGCAAGCAACTGCCACGCTTGGTATCCTCTTTTCAGATTATGTTGAAACAATGTACTTTTCTCTTCAATTTTTTTTTTAAGTTGATGGGCTACTAAAAAATTGCCCGCAGCTTCCCTCGGGGGAACACTGAGGAGGATGCGGACCATATAATTGGTTAACGGGGTGTTAAAGTGCGACTTACTTGGGTCGATGGCTAAATTGGTTAACGTGGTTGTGAAATGGGGTGTTAAATTGCGACTTACTTGGGTCGATGGCTAAATTGGTTAACGTGGTTGTAGGAGGGGGTGTTAAATGAGTGAACACGTACACACGTATGCGAAAGGGCGGCGCTGGTCGAAGGGACGTCGATCATTGTGTTTGTGGATTCGTTGGAATTCATTTCACCGCGACCTTGGACGTCGACGCGCCGTACAAACCAACCGACGAGCGGCAACTGAGCGAGCGAGCGCCGACCTTGAGTATATATACAGCACGACGGCGCATGCACTGTCAGCTGTTGAATGTTCTCGAAGCGCGACGCCACATGCGCGTCCACTGGAGAATCAGGAGAATTGTAGATGTCGAACGCGGTGTGTAGAGGAGGAAGGGTGCACAGATGGTGGAGGAGTGAAGCGCGCGCGGTGTGTAGAGGAGGAAGGGATGCACAGATGGTGGAAGAGTGGGCGACGGCGCGACGGCGCGTGCGCGCGCGTCAGCTGTCGAATGTTCGAGAAGCGGTGCGGACGGCGCGGACGGCGCGGACGGCGCAGACGGCGCACTACAAGGCGCGAGTATAAGATGCTTCCGCATCTAAAAACTGGGCGTTGTTGCGCCGCGCTGCGCTGAGGAGTGTTCGTCGGGTATTATACAACGCGTCCACATCGCGCGTGTTCGCGCCTTCTTTCTTCTACGAAGTCATAGGTCATGATTCCTTATTTGTTACGTGAAAAAGAGTAATTTCCATGTCGCTACTGCTACTCCTGCTTCTATACTACTACTACTACTACTACTACTACTACTACTACTACTACTACTACTGCTACTACTACTACCACCACCACAACCACTGCCACCACCGCTACATATATATGAAAATAGAAATAACAGCAAGAAACAAACATTCAAGAAGGGGTAAGTGAACAGTTTTGAATTTTACTCGGACTACGCGATCTCCAACACCAATCGGGAATCCATCAGCCTTCTCGGCTCGCTCTCAGCCCGGCACCAGCCGCAGATGTCTCTGATCCGCTGCGTGGACCAGTCGTTATATCTTCGCACTTGGAATTTTACTCAGTACATCACGGCGACGGCCGAAATTCGTCTAGTTTGTCTGTATAATGGCCATCACAATTAAGCTAATTTCGCCTCTTTTATACGTCAGTGAATTCATCGCCAGTCGCACATGCAAAGTAACAAGTTTAGTGACGGGGCACACTGTACGCACCGGGACAATTGTACAACAGGTTGGCCAGCTTGCGGTCCCGGAAGGTTAGCGCGCCGTCTCCGCCGAGCCTGAGCTGCAGGTGGGGGTCCAGCGTCACGATCGTGTTCTTCTCGAACGGCTGTGGGCTGAAAGCCTGCACATCGCGGAGTGTACAGTGTAGGAGCCGGTAATTACTAACGTCAGTGTAACGCACCTCTTGTCTTTTCGAAACATCCTTATCGCGTACTTGTTTCACGTCTGCTGCTCAAGACACTGCTGGTCATCTGTGCATATATTCGTACAAAGGGACACCGTTACACAGGCTAGTCAAATAGCTGCTTCGCGTTCAAAAGTGTTGGGAGGTGTCACGACCCCTGAACTCCCCCCCCCCCCCCCTGGTTACGGCCCTGCCCACATAACAGAAATTACGATCGAAAATTCAATTCAATTCAACGTTATTTACCAGAAAACAATCTGGAGGGACACCCGGGCAAAAAGCTGTCGCAGCAGCTTAACGAATGCCCAGGGTCCCTTACATTTGCCGTCATGACCCCTTTAAACGGAGAAGGAAAAGTTCCGCGAGCGAGTAAAGCTGACATGGCGACCTCCTTAGATTATTAGTGAGAGGAGGGTTACACTTCTCGTGGTGCACTCGCCTGTGGGCGTGCGTGTTTGCATATAGGCGATCGATACGTACCCCTTGCGAGTACTGCATGACCGAGGTGACGTCGTACGGCACATTGCGGCTGTTCTCCAAGGTCTGGGCGAACTGGGAGGCTCGGTCGCGCGGTACATTCTCCCACAGGATGAGGATGCTGCCGTCCCGGTCCATGCGCGACTGTTCGTGGTAGAAGCCGATGGCGTGGCCGATCTCGTGGATCACCACCGACGTCTGCGCACACGTTCAGCGCACGCCGTCACGCATGGCTGCCCTACACTGTGTTTGTCACAACCAAGAGCGTAGGCAGATTTTTCCTTAAATTCGAAGCATTTCTTGGCGAACTTTGGCGACTTTGAGCGTGTCTATCTATCTATCTATCTATCTATCTATCTATCTATCTATCTATCTATCTATCTATCTATCTATCTATCTATCTATCTATCTATCTATCTATCTATCTATCTATCTATCTATCTATCTATCTATCTATCTATCTATCTATCTATCTATCTATCTATCTATCTATCTATCCATCTATCTATCTATCTATCTATCTATCTATCTATCTATCTATCTATCTATCTATCCGCCTACGACATTTAGCTGTCCTGGCCGTTTGGATAACGGTATCGATACCAAACTTGGTATGATGAACATAACAGTATGACGAACATAAATGACAAGTCATAACATGAAAATCATGACATGCTTGACATAAATGTCATGACTTGCCTGTCATGGTCTTGCTGCTCTTGCGTTAATTTCATTCACATGATTTGTTGCAAAACTGGTATGGTATGGAGTGAGTGCATGGCGAACACAAACGACAGACTCTGACATCGAAATCATGACATGCGTGTCATGTCACAACATGACTACATGCCACACTCATGGTGTGCTCGCGGCCGTTTCGCTAACTTTGCATATACCGAATTTGGTATTACGGGATGTTAATGGATGATGAAGGTATGTTACTGGTGCAAACATGATAATCATGAGATGCGTGTCATGTATCAACATGACTACATGCCATGCTCACGATGTGCTCGCGGCCGTTTCGCTAGCTTCACATGTTCGGTATTACGTGACGCGAACAGATGACATAGGTAAATGACACGTCCAAATATGATGATCATAACATGCGTGTAATGCAACAACATGTATACGTCCCACACTCATGATCCGTTCACGGCCGTATCGCTACCTTCACATATGCAAAAATTTGATATTACGTTACGTGAATGGATGAAGGAGGTATGTGACTGGTGCAAACATGATAATCATGAGATGCGTGTCATGTAAGAACATTAATGTACGCCACGCTCAAGGCGCCAATACCCTTCGAAGCAAGCCGGCGCCCACGCGCGCCGGCGTTCGTTTTATTGCGCCACGCCGGCGATGCCATGTCAGGCACCGATATCCCCCTAGTAGAGATTCAATGGATCTGCCCACTGACCTCCACTGTAGATCTGCCTGCCATATACTCGCAGGCACGCGCCGCGCTGCGTTGCTTTGACGCATGCGCGTTTGAGCGCACACGACGTTCCTCCGTCACGAAGAGGGGGGGGGGGGGGCGCTGCGAGCGCTCGATGGTGACGGACGCACTCCACATCGCCTCCGTAGATTTCCTGCTATTTCTGCGGACATCCACCTTCGTACCCCTGAAACTTGGATTTATCGTCACCGCCAAGTTCTCCGCTTCGCCTAGACAACACCTTCGTCCAGGTGGGTCCAGTTTTGACAACTTGAGGGACGTCCTTCACTCCCGGCTACAACGCCGCCTCGCTAAGGGCTCTCAGCCCGGCGATGGCGGCCGCTAACGTGGTTACGGGCTATGATCCTACCTCAAGCCAAATGCTGTCCATGGAGATTTCATCCTCCGAAAACACTATGCCATCAGAAGATGAATACCTCGACGACATGGTGAGACTGTGGCAACGCAAGCAAGCGAAATCGAAGCCTGCGTCTCAACAACAACGAGACGCCACAGCGGGCCACCATTCCCCAGCCTTGCAAGGAACGCCGGCGCGCCATCCCTCCGGTGGCGTGCCTACCTCTGCTCCGTCCTCGCAGCCAGTGAAGCAACGCAAGTGGCGTCCGCGTCAAACTCCTCGCCTCTCTCGCGACGACTACATCGTGGTAGTGAAACCTCGCGTTCCCTGCGAGTTACGCACATTTGTCCCGGCCGATCGCGCGGGCGACGCCATCCGCAGCTACCTTGGCGACCAGACTACCACGCAAATTCAAGTGTGGCCAATCTGGGAACAGAACATCTTAGTTTGCAGCACCACCATTTTGCCTATGGCACAGAGACTCCTCGGGGACTTCCAGCTGCAAGTGGGGGACCAGCAGCTACCCGTTCGAGGCCACGCCAAGGCACCAGGGGATACATGCAGGGGCGTCATCAACGTAAACCCTGCTGAAAGCCCGGAAAAGATAAAGTCTGAACTGTATTGGCCTCGAGGTACTATCCTTGCGGTCCGCAAACTCGGAGATTCCGCGGCGGCGGTGGTGACTTTCGAGGGCACGAAGTTACCCCGCTTCCTCTTCTACCACTGTGTGGCGACGTACATCCGCGCCTACAAGAAAACGGTCCCGGTTTGCACCAAGTGCGGTACCATCGGCCATCGACCACCTCAGTGTCCTCACCCCGCTCCAACGCAGTGTGCCAAATGTGGAACCCCCGCACCTGCAGGTCTCAATGCCCACGACTGCCACCCCAAGTGCCTCCTCTGCCACGGCGCCCATGAGACTGGGACCAGTGGCTGCACGGCAAAATATCGAAAATATCGGAAACGCAAGCAGCCCTCAACATCTCTTCGAGGGACCACCTCATGTTCGTCACAGCCAGACAGCGGCATCAACCTGCATCAGTCGGCTCCACCACTCCACGCCGACACTCAGGCATTCCCACCGCTCGAAGCACCAGCGGCGGTACCTCAGGTGAGCAGTTGGGCGGGGAAAGCTGCTTCTAAGCCTCTCTCACCCCCTTCTGTCGATCATCCGTCTCCCGAACTTGCGGCCCTTCGCCAGCAAGTTGCGGCACTTCAAAAGCAAAATTCTCTTTTAACTAAACAACTCGAACTCTTAAATAAGCGACTTCAACCCCAACAACAGTGTACTGCAAAACCATCCGGTATTGCCTCCTCTGTCCAGGCGGCTACGCCAGCTACGTCCAAGCTTAGTCCTCGCGCTAAGTCCACTCCCATTAAACCGCCGGTTCAAGCAACCATTTGTACTCCAGCACTCGGAACCGGTGCCATATCTACTCCAGAAGCTCTTGAGGCTCCTGGGGCACCTCAGGTTATCTTGCCCGCTAACCAAACTCTCCCTAGCGAAGAGCGCACCCCGCGCGTAGAGGAACGCCTCACGCGCGTCGAAGCTTCGATTAATCACCTCCTCACCAGCTTCTCGGTTGAACGCATAGTAGTAGAGGTTACCCAGGCTATTCAAGCCTGGGCAATCACCCAGTTTCAACCCAAGGCATCGCGTTCCCGCTCCTGCTCGGTGAGCAGTGAGGGTACAGCTCCACGGCGTCGTCGTAAGGTGGCTACCACCACCCCGCCGTCGGACAATCCGGCCTACGTGCCCCTCCCTGCCTCTGAGGAATCCGAGCGGGACATGGAGGACCAAATATAAAACCTAAGACAATCACGATGGCTACCAATCGTACGTCCCGTTCAAATATTGCGTCTAAATTCGAGATCATACAGTGGAACCCTGGAGGCTTCGGGAACAGGCGAAAGCGTTCACATCTTTCCCTTTTCCTCAGCTCACTTGGCTCTCAGCCGGCCGTCTTGGCGCTCCAAGAATCTGGCCCTGCTCCATCCCTTTCTGGATACTGCTCCTATGTCGGCGGCACCACCACATGCCTCCTCGTGCATAAAGCTTACACGGCGGTACAGATTGACCTCGATCTGGATCTTCCTTACGACTACTGCATGATATCAGTGCTGTCTCAGCGAAGGGGCCAACCATCAATACATATCTTAAACGTGTACTGCCCCCCTCGCCTTGCAAGGGCTTCGTTTGCGCATCTCTTCCATCGGGCGCTGCGTATAGCGGCCCGACAACCACCGGTGATTGTCGGGGACTTTAATGCCCCCAGCCCTCACTGGGGCTACCACTACGAGAAGGCCCGGGGCAGAGAGCTCAAGGAGCTCATTTCCTCGCTGAGCCTGACGCTTCTTACCGATCCGGCACAACCCACACGTTCCGGCAACTCGGTCACGCGAGACACATGCCCCGACCTCTCCCTCACCCGTCACATCCGCGATGCTACATGGGAGAATTTAGGCGAAAACCTAGGCAGCGATCACTTTTTACTCCGCATTTCGTTCACACCGCGGCAGAAAATGCGCCAACACTGGGGCCAAGCCCGTCTCACCGATTGGACTCAGTTCAGAATGCAACCATTCCCCGCCAGCCTCTCCTCGACCGAATATGCAGCGTGGGCATCATACGCTCTCCATACGAAACAAGCGAACACTCGCACCCTTGCAACCTCTAATTTGACTCCTGCAATCGATCCACACCTCCTACATCTTTGGCACGCTCGCCGCGGGCTCATAAGGCGCTGGAAACGCAACAAACTTAATCGGAAACTTCGCGCTCGCATTGAGGCGCTCACTGCAGAGGCGGCCGCATACTCCGCACAACTTTCCGATGCTAACTGGGCAGACACCTGTTCGAAGGCTGCAAACCAGATGAGCTCTAAGAGTGCGTGGCGACTCTTTAGAAGCCTTCTCGATCCCTCCACCACCAGGGGAGAAACGCAACGCCAGCTCCACCGTGTTCTGCATGCCTTTCAGGGCACTACGGATGAACTCGCGCGAGAACTTTGTGACCGCTACATCTGCCGCACAATTGATCCCGCAGGCCCAGCATATACGTATTCCGGCGCCCCTAACACCAACCTCGACGCCCCATACACGCTTTCTGATTTACGATTTGCACTCACGAAAATGCGACGGGGCACGGCCCCTGGACGCGACGGAATCACAGTATCGCTCCTGGCAAATCTTCCCGACCAAGCACACCTCTCGCTACTCCAGCTTATAAATTCGATATGGGACGGTTCTTCGCTTCCAACGGAATGGACCACATCGGTCGTGACATTCATTCCCAAATCGGCAAAGTCCGTTAGTATTGAGGCACTGAGACCCATCTCACTTACGTCTTGCGCAGGCAAACTCATGGAAACCATGGTTCGCGAACGCCTTTCAGCCTACTTGGAGGCCAAGAGCACCTTTGCCGACACGATGTTTGGCTTTCGCCCGCATCTGTCGGCGCAGGACGTCCTGCTCCAGCTTCAACACGATATCATAGAGCCGACTACTATGCGCCATAACGATAAAGCCGTGCTCGCTCTCGATCTCCGCGGGGCGTTCGACAACGTCAAATACAGCACTATACTCACTAACCTGTCTACCACAAACTGCGGGCAGAAGACTTTCAACTACATTCGCGCCTTTCTATCACATCGCACCGCCTTCATTCGCCTTAATTCTACCGAACACGGCCCGTACTTATTAGGCACGCGGGGTACACCTCAAGGGGCAGTCCTGTCTCCTCTGCTTTTTAACCTGGCGATGATGAACCTCCCCTCTCTTCTAAGCGAGGTCGAGGGAATACAACACGCACTATATGCGGACGATATCACAATTTGGACCAACACCGGCTCCTTAGCGCAAATCGAAGAACGCCTGCAAAAGGCTGCCCTTCTGGTGGACACCTACGCAGGCTCATGCGGCCTGGAGTGCTCTCCAGCTAAATCGGCTCTTCTTTCAGTCTCTCCGCTACCGCCGCCTCAAATTTTTCTTCCGTCCGGGCCCGTCCCGTCAGTGCAAAATATTCGGGTTCTTGGCCTTCACCTCATATCGTCCTTGGATCCAAAGGGCACAATATCAGGCCTCAGACGCACCAGCGAACAGGTGAGCCGCATGATACGGCGAGTTTCTACCAAGCGCGGCGGCCTCCGCGGGTCTCAGTCCCTCCGATTGGCCCACGCGTTTGTGACCAGTCGCGTCCTCTACGCCTTGCCTTACCTTCGCCTGCGTCGTCGACACGAGCACCAGCTGGACGTCCTTCTTCGTTCAGTATACAAACGCGCTCTGGACCTACCTATTGCAACTTCCAACAGCCGATTCACGGCTCTGGGGGTACACAACACCTTTGCAGAGATGCGCGAAGCTCATCGCGTTAACCAAATCAATCGACTGTCGCAGACGCCTTCAGGGCGCCGTCTTCTACACAGACTTGGCCTTAACCCGATATCTGACCAAGACCCTCTGCAGCCGATACCAGAGCTCTGGCGTCAAAAGCTATGGGTGGAACCTCTACCCCGTAATATGAACCCTGACCTCCATCCTGGCCGTAGGCTAGCACGCGCCGCGGCCCTTCATACGCGACACTCCGATCGTCCTGGTGTTTTCTACGTGGACGTCTCGGGTCCCTCCCCCTCGGGTCACTTCACGGCTGCCGTGATTACAGAGGGCAAACACGTAGATGGCCTCTCCTTTCGAGCAGACACAGTAACGCACGCTGAAAGGTTGCCATAGCTTTGGCCGCCTCTCACCCTGCCTCACGCACCATCCTGACGGACTCGCGCTCGGCCTGTTCTCAGTACCTTCAGGGTTCCATTGCTCCGCTGGCGGCTAGCCTACTACAGGCAGCCTCTTGGCGCTTTAACCCTCATCCCATTCGTATAGTGTGGACCCCAGGCCACTCGGGCCTGCCCGGCAACGAGGCGGCAAATGCCGCTGCCCGCGCTTCTTCTGTCCGGGCCGTTGCCCCTCCATGTCCCGAGACGGAATCTGGCAATACCAACCTGACGCGCTTTCGCGAAATTTTGGCTTATTACCGGGCTTCGCGCCGCCTCTACCCGGACCCCGCACGCGGTTTGGAGAAAGCGGACGAGCGACTGCTACGCCGCCTGCAGACGAACACTTTTATCAGTCCGGCGGTCGCGAGGCACTTTTTGCCGGAAATCAATGGCACCTGCTCGACCTGTCATGTGCTCGCCGACACATATCACGTCGTAGCATCGTGCCCAGTTAATCCCGTCCCTTTCTCATCCCCTTTTTCTATCCAAACTAGAGAGGCTTGGGAGGAGCACCTGCTCGGCTGCTCTACCTTGGCTGCACAACGCTCCTTGGTGGAGCGCGCACGGGCAGCTTCCAGCTCCACTGGCGTCCCGGAATAGGGTCTTGCCACTCTAGCACGCCGATGGGCCACGTCGGCACTCTCTAGTAAACTTTTTCTGAAATAAATGTTTTTTACCACCTACCTACCACCGTCACGAAGAGAGGCAGACGCGGTGCCGTCTAAGTAACGTCGTCGGCGCGAAATGCAGCTTGTCGCATTTCGCGCCGGTTGCCATCGGGCCGCGCCGACGGACGCTAGTCGCGCTGGTCGCGCGTGGCGTCACACTATAGGCCAAACCTCATAGGCGCGAAAATGCACGCGACAGCGACAAGTGACGCAACGTAGATCGGCTTCGCGCGATCAGTCGCTAGCGCATGCAAACATGAGCGGTCGCGCTTTGCTGGCGTGGTGTCGCTGTGCCCAACCTGTGCGTGCGTCAACGTTGTGTCGGAGTATATTCGGCCTCTCACGGCGTGTTCGCCGCCGTTGCGCTAGCTCCACATCTACCAAATTTGGTATCACGCGAAGTGAATAGACGACGGAGGTAAATGACACGTCCAAACTTGATAATCATTTTTTCTCATAATCGGCGTCCTTGTTCTTTATCTTCTCTTTCACAACGTGTTTCAACACTGGAAACAATCGTGGCTGTTGTACCTATAGTTGTTTAAAGAACCCATTGTTGATGGACGTGATGAAAAGTCAACTATTTGCACAAACCCTGCGCTAACCATAAACAAGCCAAGCGTGTGCGAAAGAAGCCGAGAGGGCTAAACAAACGTTTTTTTTTGTTTGGTATAGTAACCTTAACTATCAGTTGCTTACATCTCACGGTTGCTGATAACTACGTGGTGAGTTGGGCCGGCACCAGGATTATTTTACCGGGGAAAGGAACCCACGATAAGTGAGTTCTTTCAGGGGGGAAGGAAGGCGGGGAACTTAGTCATTGTGTCATGACTATGTTCTTTCTTAAGGGGTGGGGGAGTCAACGG